CTCCCCCCCCCCCCCCCCCCCCCCCTTTGTTTTCCCCCTCATTTGGGTTCTTGTATCACGACAACCATAATTCATGTATTGCAGCGAGAATCTAAGGAGAAAAGGCTAGTATGGATTATTTTGTACAATATGAGTTTCCTTTGGAATAGTTTTTCTGTTCACTTCCTTTTTTCTTTTCATTTTATTGCTAATAAGTTTCCCCCCTGCTAGTTAGTATACGAGGATGCGGTTGGCTTCGGAACGCCGTAGTTTGCATCGCCACCTTCCCTATGAAGATTGCCGCGACATATGTGAAGGCTACCTGAGCAGACGCCCAATAGAACTATAAACATCAACCGAAGGTCCGAGCCTGGACATTATGGAAAAGAAATATATATATATGCGCGATTATTGAAATCGAGGTTTGCCTAAGCTCTCCGCTTTGATGCATCAGACCTTTTCTATTGACAGATGACGGCCCGCATGCAGCCAACACACTTCGGCAGTCTTTCCGAATCACATCACATCTCTTGTACCATTCGATTAAATCCAACGGGAGAATACCGGGTGTATGAGAGTGTATGAGATTGTGTGGGAATGTGGCTGAAAAGTCGATGTGACTCAACTTAACCCTCATCTCCTCCAATAATCTCCTTCGATTATCATAATGTCTTTCTTTCAACCTGATAGACTCAAGTCCAAACGCCAATATTGTTTTCGGGTATCTGTTTCATCCCCCTGTTCTCCTTGTTCTATTCTATTGGACATATGTGATTGACTCCCGCAGGCCTTGGCTCCGAAGAGACCCGGTGCAATAGAATAGCTTGCCATCGCTTACTCGACTAGCCTATACTGTATCAATCAGCCGATACCATATGTCCTCTTTCCCTGACGGCGCAGTTGCATGGAAGATCGGTCCGACGAATGAGCTGTTTGATTTGTTATGTCCCCGATGCCTGACAGGCTTCATCTATCGTGTCTTTTTCTTTTGTTACTCTTGACTCTTGACCCCAGAGTCACCCTGGTATATTTTGCGTTTGGTCTATACCCCCATTAATAGGCGCTTTGCCAACGATACTTTGGGGGGTTCTACCGCTTCGAAGTTTTTTTTGGAACCCCTCTCTTTGGTGTTGGGAGTCTGTGCGAAAGCAAAGAAAATCAGCTATCCCAGGCCGGGAAGATGGGATACAACCTGCCTATCGCGAAAAACTTGACTATGACGATACAGAGTCCTCTTGCAGTCCGGTCCACTGGAGACTGATGGAATCAGCCCGGCGACGCACGCTCCAACTTGGTCACCGGCACACGGTTGGAGTTCTAGGGGCTCTCCAGACGTTGTTATAGATATGTCCTTTTCTTATTTTCGTTCGCTCATAATCTAGGAAAATCTTTGTTATTTCACCTTAGTATACACTATGTATGACCGATTCTTCTACAAGAACCGCCTACAAATTGACTCAAAGTAATCCTATCTATCCTCTTCTGCACATCAACGTGTTGAGCCCTTTCTCTTCTCTGTTGCGATTACATATGCAGGCAAGTTCCTCTTCGCACGTCCTATGCAACAGCAGAAGCATTTTTCTTTTCTTTTCTTTTGGGGTTGCCTTTCAAATCGAGAAAGACACGTGGGAAATAAACACGCCCTGAAATCGTTCATCTCCCAACAGCCACTCAAGTCACTTATCCGGGCTGCAGCCCCTGGTGTTGTCTATATATGTCTGCAACACCAGTGGACCCTTATCGAGGCTTCATGGTTAACTACGCTCCTCATGGCAGTGGTAAAGATGCGAGCCGGGAGGATATCATTCCCTACGGTGCGGCGCAGTTGCTCCAAGATAGGCCTACTGAACTTCGCTACCACTCTGATATAACCCAGCCACCCCTTGGTTCTCCATCGACGTTTATCACAAACCACTCGCCGCCACGTCAGCTGCGGTCGCATTACAACACACACGGGTATAGACTCTCCCCAATCCAGGGTAGCAGAAAACGACGACGTACCGACAATGAGCCTGAGGCCTGTGAAGACACTGATCACACTTATGGGTACCGACCTATCTTGCAAAATCTACCCATGGGTGACCCGTCGGCTCAATCAGGCGAACCAGCCGACCTGACGTACGCTGCTCATGTCGGCCCTTCGTCTTCCCACCAGACATCGAACCAGGACTACCTCCAGGCTGCTCTCCCGCAACAACATCACCACCATCGGCTACCACCCCAAGCATTTGGTGCGGCCTCCGCTGGTCAGGGCTCCGAACCATACCAGCCGCAAATCGACCGTAGCTTCATGAACCTTCCAGGCGTGCCTGCACCATACCCTGAGCCAAAGGCACCAAAGACCAGATTTGGTCACAAGGAAGATGAGATGTTGATAGCCCTCAAGGAGCATTGGAAGTTTTCGTGGAGGCAGATCGAGTGCTTCTTCCCAGGGCGAAAACAACAAACATTGCAAGTCCGTTACTGTACCAAATTGAAGGAAAGGGACGTGGTCTGGGATGATGCCTTGGTATGTTTATGCCCACCCAAAAAACTGAGATTGTACTAATTCCTATGATAGGACCAGAAGCTGAAAAGGGCACTGGAGGACTATGAGGACAACAAATGGGCGCACATTGCCCGGAAGCTTGGACCTGGTATACCACCAGCGGCGTGTAAGCTGAGAGCCGAAGAGCTTGAATGACGTTGGAGTTTCTGTTTTGCTAGCTTAGAGGAACTTGTGTAGTATATTGTGACTTATAGCGCGTTTGGTCTGAGTTATTGTCAATACATCATGTCACCTGGTGCCCTACACAGAGAAGCCCTAGATGTTCCAAAACGGACATTCTGCCGCTCCGAGTTGTAGCTGAGCTGACCGCCGCCGCACAGAGCTCCTGCCAATAAGAACAGCTGACTCATCATCAATCGCGGTCCTATTGGATGACCCAGCCAGCCAATCACAGGAGGTCGGACCAAAGCGGCTTCAAACTCGCCCAACCTCAAACCTCCAAACTCCCTCTCCTGCCCCAAACGCCCCGCGTCAACCACCCCATCACCTCCAGGACAATGTTCCTCCAACGTACAGCCTCCGGCCTCGCAAGGCGCTCGCCTGCCCGCGCTTTCACCCTCGCCCAGCGCCCCTTCTCTTCCTCCATCATTCGCTGTACGTGACTCCTCAAATATGGCCTGATCCGACCTTCGCACAACTACTCCAATCCCCGCGCACTCCGACCACAAAGGGTTATTTACATTCAATTGCAATTGATCTGAACTATTTTATTGCGATTGCCAGCTAATGCGAAATTTTTATAGCCAACGGGAAGAAGTGGCTTCCCAAGCAGGAGGGCAAGATCCTGACTTTCGATGGTTAGTGCTTTACCCGACCCCATAGCAGTCAACTGCTTTTCTTTCAGCCTCTGCGGCTCGGGAAATATTCATATAGTCACCCGCTCGAGAATCTGTGTGCAATTGGACTCTATGGAACCTCGGGTGTTGGTTATACGGATACTTTTTCCCGAGTCACGGGCCACGCTTTTCTACGTCAAGTGGATAAATACGAAATATTTGCAAAACAAAATACTGACTGTTTCTCTTGTCCGTATATAGAGATCAAGGGCGAGAACGACCTCTTTGCTCCCGGTGCCAAGCCCGGTACCATTCCCACCGATCTCGAACAGGCCACCGGTCTCGAGCGTCTGGAACTCATCGGAAAGATGCAGGGCATTGACATCTTCGACATGCGTCCCCTTGATGCCTCCCGCAAGGGTATGACCCCTTGGCGTCTCCCTCAACGTCCCATCGCAATTCCTGATTGAATGACCGAATACTGCCGCGGAATCACATGACCATTACTTTGGGACGAAGACGAGACATTGGCTGACAAAACGGGTGGATTTATGCAGGCACACTCGAAGACCCCATCATCGTCAACAGCGCCGGTGATGAGCAGTACGCCGGTTGCACCGGTTTCCCCGCAGACTCCCACCAGGTCAACTGGCTGACCGTATGACTGTCCCATCCAAGCCCAACCAAGCTCATATCTCCGCTCTAGAGACTGACCCTGCATGTCTTAGGTTTCCCGCGAGCGCCCCATCGAGCGCTGCCTCGAGTGCGGCAACGTGATCAAGATGAACTACATCGGACCCGAGGAGGACCCCCATGCCCGTATGTTCCCTGCTCTCTTTTTTCGCCTACATGATGATCTGTTGGTTGTGCTAACACTGTCGCTTTCAGACGACCACGACCACGGTCACCACCACCCTCCTCACGTCGAGCCCAAGACCTTCGCCGACTACGTCAAGCCCGACTACTGGTACCGGTAAATATTTAGTGCCGATTTTCTTTGGTTGTTGCTTGGAAATCCCAATACAGTGTGAACATTATACTGCGTGTCTGTCTCTGTTCTGTCTCGGTGACTCCCTCCGTCTCTTTTGTACTATAGTGCTCTAGTAGATGAAATGAGAGTATTGGTGGGGTTGTTCTTACTTTGGACCTGTGATTGCCTGTTTGGGTTTGTAGTTACATACTATGAGATGGGATGTCGCTGGTGTTCCTGTCGATAGAACTTCTTTAATACTGCTGTTAGAAATACCTGTTTCAGATGGAAGAAGAGAAGAAGCTCTATTTATCCATGTATCACTGTGATCTGATGTACATGTATATATCTAGAAAATGCGGTAGTATAAGCGAAGCCTCAACATCCCGGGCAGTAGACAATGAAACGTCGTGCAGAGCCTTATCAAAAGGAAGTAAGACCACTCATATGCTTGGACATGATCATCCATGGACATATGGATCAGTCAATGCCTAGCGACCCACGAAACGAAGTTCGATGAATCTGAGAGGAGGGTAAACAAGCGCAGTCCAACAGAACCCGACGTAAATCCCCATCTAGTGAGTAACAAGTTAGAATCAAAGATACACATGGCGGGAACCTTGGAAGCGGGATTCAACTTACATCCGCACCGTATTCGCCGACCAATTTAGCAATGGGACCGATGTACCACACCTGCGCCATACACAATACAGCACCCACCCAGCCAACGACAAATGCAGCGAAAGCCGCAATTCCAATGGGCAGCTTTGATGGATCCCGCCAGATGCCCCAGTTATACCCAGTGCGGAGACGGAAGATGAACCGCTCCTCAAGGACGATAGCAATCCAGATGACGACCCAGTAGCCCATCAAAGCGAGGAAATTGGTGAAGATCTCAGAGAGGTTGCTGCGGCCAACTAGCGCGCAGACGGTATAGATAATGACGGCAATGGTACTCCAGATGACGCGTGGTACTGCCTCGGCGTAACGACCGAGGATCTGAAAGTCGATGCCGGAGGAGTAAGTGGGCGCGACGGTATTGGCGATCAGGCCGAGGGCGCAGATCACAGAGCAGAATTTGCCGAAGCCGTGCAGCGGGCCAAATCCTTCCACGATTAGTGCTCCCTGGCCTTGCTCGTAGGCAGCGGCATACTCTGGGTGTGTGGAGACTCCCGACGCCAGCCCGACGCCGCTGACTAGGGCCATTGTGAAGGAGACGAGGAGGCCTCCCAGGCTGAGACTGAATAGTTTCGCCCGAGAGGTGTTCTCAGGGTAGTAGACAAAGAAGTCGGCTGCTAGTGGGGTGTAGGTCACTGCGGCGCTCAGACAGATGGAGAAGAAGGATAGCCTGGGACCATGTTAGAATTTAGGCTTCGATCTTAGGTCTGAAATGCAGACTCACCTATTGCCAGCTACTGTCCGGGAATCGCCGGTAGAGGTGGTCGACAAGTCGAACTTCACTGATGACACTCCGAAAAGGATGAAGACCACAATTACTTGAGGCAAAAAGGCGAATCTAATATGAGGCCCGTCAGTGACACTGTTCCTCATGGCAATAATCTCTCAGACTGACCGTTCATAGTAGTGGAAGGCTTGGATGCCGAATGTAGCTACAACCCAGCTGATAACCGCGATGATCACGATGCCTATTAGATATTAGTATCACTATCAATGTATAAAGTTCCCAAATTACCTACCGACAGCTACAGACATGCCGCTAGAGGAGACAGCAGACAAGATTTGTCCCCCCACGACGCAATCGATCAAGCCGTATCCAATCATCTGAATGAGGTTCAATAGGACAATGATCTTGCTAGGCCACCAGCCCATCGAATACCTTCCAAAAGCCTGGTCACCAATTAGCCCCGTCAATCATATAATAGTCCAACAAATTCAGTATATGTTACGCACCAGTGTCCGGATCCCAGAAACGGGCCCCCAGGTGGCCATCCAAGAGGCGACGAAGGAACCAACGAAGGCGCCAAAGACAGCACAAAGTGCCGAATCCCGGAAGCTGAGACCATACACAGCAGGACCTAACATCCCCAGTGTAATGTTATTGGGTGCAAGGTTGATGGAGATCCAAAGCAAGAAGACTTGCAGATACGACATCCATGTATTGCGCTTCATGCGCTCATCCACAGCAACACGCTCGATACCACGCGCTTCCAGGTTATACTCGATGAGCTGATTTTCAAAAGCTCTAATAACGGAGCCCAATCGTGATCCGACAGGATTGCGGCGATTGGTCGTGGTTTCGGCGCAGAGTGCCTCATCCTTGTTGGCCACGGGGGATTCAGGCGCGAATGTCGTCAGGTCTTCCTTGTTAGAGTGCACCGCTAGGGCGGTGATTTCATTTTCCGAAGCCATGCTGCCAGTCTGTTAGTATCACACCTAATTTGCGAGGAGAGAAAAAGCGCATTGAGTCCTTTCGCTGGAATTACCCAGATCAAGTTTAACCGTATATTCTCAGAACGACGATAGTCGAACACCGGTCTTCATGCAGGAGGCTTGTCCTATACCTTGATCGTGAGAGAATGCCACACTACTCGTCTTCATGGTGGCCGTCCCTTGTGCACAGGTTGTGTTACCTTCCGAGAAGAGTCACTATGAACACTGTAGCGTCAGCGGAGTTCAACTGGTCAGGCAATCACAGGGCTTGGTTTACCTCTGAAATCAGCTTTTCCAGTGCAAAACAAATTAACAGCAGGTAACCAATTGATGTGAAAAGCATCCAATTTCCAGTGGGGGAAAAAGGAAAGATTTGCCGCGGGGAAAAAAAATAAGATCGCTTTCCGCCTCCACCTTCCATATGTATGAACATACTACGGAGTATGTACTGACTACTGCGCCAGCCTCCTCGGTGGAAATATAACTTCCAACAGGACAACAATGCAGTCTAAGAAGCGCTTCCTTAACGCATATGTATCGCTCCAAAGCTCATATCATTAGGGAGATTACATGCTCTGATGCGTCTTCAATATTTGAGGTAGACCTGGATAGATAAAAGTATAGATTGAAGGTTCTCCACGACGACGGCGACCCTAGATATACCGAAAAAGGCCGTGATTTAAACCGATTTCGTGGCCAATATAATACATATGAGAAGCTCCTCGCTTCTGGTGTCTATACGCCCGGTTTCGTTCCAAAGTTCTATAGCTACATCGATCGAATGGATCCCGCAGCATTCCATCCTGCCTTACAATATTTCGCCCAAGACAAGCTAAAGCTGAGAGTAATATTGCTAGAGTACCTCCCAAATGCAGAGACTTTAAACTGCGTGAACTACTCGGATACGCTCTTTCCCCAGGCAATTGAGGGCATGCAAGATATCTACCCTAAAAGCTTTCTCCTCGTTCGTGGAAACACCGACAGACTGGTCTGGGCTGACTTTGATGTTGCGATGACCTTTACCGACTTTGGACCTGAAGAGCTGGCCCGCTGTGACTACGAAATTGCGCTTGTGAAGGGATTTGGGGAAGCATTAGTAAGGTATCCGTTCCTTCCTATATTGCAAGTATTGAGCGTGCTGATGACAAGGCCGAGGGACTCTTACCGAATACAAAACTTTATTAAGGGTTTCATAGGCTTGCAAATATGCTTAACTTATATCCCCAAGAGTCGCTCTCGAGGCCAATTGGATCCTGTCTTAGCTACACTGTCTTAGCTACAATCCTCGTCTAAAATGATCTCGTTGGGAATTTCAAGACCATTTTCAAGCCTCACATCACACACTTCTCGAAATGCAGTTTTGAGGGAGTCGTTCTCGACATTCGACACCTGCCACTCACCGTATCCTTTAACAGCTACATCTCTAAGACCAGGAATGTCGAGTAGGCTTGGAACCTGCAAAATATCTGCTGCCTTCGGAGCCAAGATATCGAGCCCATGAGGCGCAGACTGCGAGGACGAAACATGGATGTTCATAGGTGGATATGGTAACCCAGCCTTGCGCTTGTTTCTCGCTATCTTGCTCTTCCCGGTATAATTCGTCACAAACCGCTTCTGGCACATCCCTGTGACCTTCCAGAACACCACCCTTCTCAACGTGGCTTATTAGCGTTTGATGTGATGAGATTTAAGTACTTGCAACAGGCCATTGGTTTCTGATTTCTGATGCAATTTCCTCATACTGGAATACCAGTGGGAATCATATGGTATTGATAGACACAAAAGCGCAAAAAAAACAGCGCTCGTCAAACCAAAACAACAACGCCTAAGGGGGAAACATGGCTGATCGCAAAACAGGATGCGCAGGTGTTCATAGCGCATATCAAGTAAATTCGAGAATAATACTGAAAAAAAGAGATCCAGATCACCAACTCCATCTGCCTTGTAAAATCAGTGGCCTCCAGCGGCCACCGATGAAACTTGCATCGCTCTGGAATTGCAGGGAATCCGGAAGAGAGAATGCCAAATTCGTAAAAGATGCTAAGAAAACGATATCATCACTTCATCAGAGGTGTTGTGGTGGTCAGACGTTCTTGAAATGCTCTTTGGCATACTGTTCGCAGGCCTGTCGGAAAATACCGAGATTAGATGGCTTGCACAATGACATGGAAATTCCGATACTCACTTTGGCAGGCTTTCCCACTTTCTGACCGATCACCTTCCACTTGTTCGCCTCGTACTCCTTAATCGCCTCACGAAGCTTCACAGACTGTGCGACGTTAGGGGCGGATGCAACAACGGACATTAAAAGAAAAAAGGGATCATACCTCATCTTCGGCAAATTCCGCGTAGTGCATGTCCTGCGTAAGGTGTCAGTAATACGAGACGTGGTATTACCAAATTCGCTTGATATTGCGTACCTTATACCAATGCTTCTTGACACTGCCCTCGGTTCTGGTCGGGAAAGTCTGCGACAGGTAAAAAAGCCCCAGGTCAGCAACCCATAGTTTCAGCCTATAAAAAGCCGCGCGCGCGCACCTTGGCAATTTCACTCCAACTACGCCCGGCATCGCGCATTGTCTTAAGTCTTTGCTCTTCCTCTGCGGTCCACGGGGTATTTGTGCGTCCCTTTTTCTTGGGCGTAGACTCGACCGTGGGAATAGCACCGGGGTCATCAATCGCACCACCCGCAGGATTCCCTGGGGCTGCCATCATGGCTGACGATCCCGTAGGAGACGGAGGACGTTTGCGCGAAGTGCCGGGGTTTTGTTGAGGTATAGGAGCAGTCGGAATCGGGATGCCTTCGAAGGTTGGGACGCGATGAAATGGATGGATCTGTTGTTGAGCAAGCATATGCGGGGGAGCGCTGGTAGTTGCCGACGTCTTGAGTCGTTTGGATGTCGGGGGGGAACTAATCAGGCGAAGGGTCAGAGAATAGAAGAGACATAAGATGAGATGAGGCAATGTAATAAGAACGCGACCAAATGCACTTGAATTCCAACCCAGTCTCCCTCCCACAGCTGGAGGCCGGACGGAGATCACAGACGAAGGGACTTACGACATGGTGAAAGACACACGCGGTTTTCAATCACACTGTGCCGATTCATCTGTACATACAAAAAGGCCGCGTAGGGGGGTTAGCAGGATCTGGTACTGGCGCGCCTTGGTCAACTCTCGGGAAGCGTTACACTAAAGACGATGACACAGGCGCATCCCAGGCAGAACCAGATTGGGAGAGGTAACAGGGACAATAGGAATAAGTCGCGACACAGAGAAGTCCAGACTCCGACCGGAGTGTTTTTGACTGCTATGTGGGTTTGGAAGTCAAAGGGAAGGCTCACAGGTCAAAATCGCATGGTCGAAGCGTCGATTCGGGGACCTCGAATTCTTCCGAATACGGGGAGAACATGAGGCTGAGTGATGACTTTGAAGTCAAGGCAAGGTTGAGGAAACCAAGAAAAGGAAAAAAGGTAGAGACTTTTAAAAACAAAAGTGAGAAAGGGAGAGAGAGAGAGACAAGGTTACAGAGAGAAGAGAAAGGAGGAAGAGGAGAAGTTGTGAGGAAAGGCAGAGCGGGGATGGAGTCACCTCATATCACAACAAAGTAATAATAGCAGTAGAGATGTAATTTTATACTGTTTATTGTTTAGTCTTCATAGTCTTCATAGTCTTTATAGCATCTAGTTTATAATGTTTAAATGATTTGAATGTTTTGATTTCCTTTGAAGATCATTCTTCGAATCTCCCCAGTGTCGATTTCCCGTAACCCCCTCTATTTCCTCTCTCTAGTATATCGGTCACTCTTAAACCTCCCCTTTATATTCGCTTTTCCTTATATCAAATGTAGACTATTCATGCAATCAAATTAAAATTCGGTGTCGATTCAAATGCGCCTCCAACCACTCCCCCTCCGGTGCATTCCACAACCCGTTCTTCCCTGGCCTAGGAACCGATGCCCGGACAGGGGCCTTGTCACAATTTATGACTCGTCCTGTGATCCAATTCGACCGAAATCAAGATGCAGAAGCAAAGATAACCACGTCCGGCAGCTTCCATGAGACATTTGGGCCGAAGAGACCCGCGAGTGGCCTGTTCCAGAATCCGGTGACCCGGCGAGATCTCACAAAACCGTGCGAGGATGACAGGACACGCCCAATGCGAGTCAACGACTCGCCCGAGGGCCTAATTATTGCAAAGGCATCCAGTGGCCCCGGGAACTCATCCCGCAATCAACATCGTTCAACTGACAGAAGTAGAAGTCTCCGTCCAACCCGAGACTTGGCGGGCTAGATCAGCCACAAGACGGTTTCGTGTGAAGCCACCGGGTACCATTCCCCTCTCTGCCCACCATGCAGGTCGTTGAGAGCATGCACGGTATGGGTTAGAGAATCTGGAGGACCCTATCAGCATTTATTTTTGTCTTAATACAACGCGGGGTTCATCTAAGGCGTGTATATATTCAAGAAGCCCAGCCTCTCAGAGTCCTGCCGGCATTTTCGTTGTCGCACACACAGCTCTTCCCCCCTGTCAGTCTCCAATTGGTGACAATTAACAAATGGGTGGTGCCCAATCCGACAGGACGACTGTATTTCCTGGCATTTCCAATTGACTAGGAGATATCAAGTGGTAAAGCTCGAGTATCTTCGGTTAGGTTTGAGATGATGCAAGCCAAAGATCAGGTGTGCTGAATGTCTCCTGGTGCGGCATATTATGATTATCAATGCCAAAGATACTGCCAAGAGTCGCTGGGGTAAATACGGCTTGCATCACCCTGTTTTAATAAACAGAAAGGGTTTCTCTGTCAAAATTTAGGGATATCGAGTTCCCTGGTCAACACGGCCAGGAAAGATGTGTTGCAGCAGATGGCGACAGTATTCTTGAATCACGCGAAAGCGACAGAAGGACTCTTTCATTTGGCCAATTCCTTGCTGTTTTTACCGAATCAACTGTTTCAACGGCTCTACGATGAAATCGGGTCCTTTCTACCATACCAAGCCTCATTCTTACTAAATAATTAGTTAATCATTATATTCTCCTGGGAACATTAATGAGGCAAATTATGACTATTGGATACTCATGTTACAGCGAGTACATCTGCTTTGGGGAGCGTACGTCGCCTGCATCACCTGGAGCATCTAGGCCTTGTCGAACCCACGGTCACAAGCGCAAATCAACAGATCTTGGTTTTAACTAGAATGCTAGATCATCGGTATCACTCCAGAAGCTTAAGAAGAGCCTCGAATTAACTTCCGAATCGACTTTAACAACTCAAATATCTATGTATCGAGTAAGTCGTCCTCGAGTCTTTGCTTCTAAACATCCCCGCATCTTTCTTTTTTAGTTCATCACCTCCAAGAGTGCTTAGTGAAACCTGGACTATATGACTTGCTAAGAGCAACATTTATCAGAATGTGTTTAGTACTTCGAAGCTCGACTGTCGAATTATCGATGTTGTATCTATGTACTTGTTTCACATGTTGTCGGCACCGAATATATACATCGAGACCGCAATGTTGAACAGCACATGTCAACCATAACCGGGCACCAGGCAACAAGGTGGACCCCCAAGAATGTCAATTTTTTCTTTCGTCATTGTCTAATAAAATGAATGCACCATATTTCTCGCCATCCAACTACTCTAGCGCTTCGATTTACGCGCTGACGTCAAGCTCACGTGAGGGGACACGCGGCCCGAGCTCATGTGGATCGCGGATAACGAACTCCCCCAGTCACTCCAACAGCGCCAATATACCTTCACTTGTTGCATCTCCCTGCACGTTAATCTCATTGGAGGGAACGTAAATACACAGGAAACAGCTCCTTTCTCTTCCAATCTACTCGACACCCCTCGATTCTGCCATTCCGCCAGATACTTGGCGCCGATCTCAATGGTAATAGCTTGAGACAAGTGTCCACACGTGTCCAACTCATTGTCCGATTGTCCGATCACACCCCTCCAGCCATGGTAGCCTGGAATGTCTTTCGTATAATTGGAGATCTCTCTCATGCAGGCTCAATATGTGTCCTGCTCTGGGCTATCCACAAGAATAAGAGCGCCGAGGGTTCGTGCACCTTTGTATCAACCCGGTTACCTAGATACCCTGCAGAGCTTACTGACACAGATGTTTGAATTAGGCGTCTCACTCCTCACGCAGATCCTCTACGGCGTCGTCTTCATATTTCGGTATCTTGATCTTTTCGATCCCCATACATACAAGAGTGGCACGTGGCACAGCATTTGGAATGTCTCTTTCAAGCTCTTCTACCTCATCTCGTCCGCGTACCTGGTTTTCCTGATGATGAAAGTGTACCCGCGGACGAGAGAGAGGGAGCGAGCTTGGAAGCTCGGTCTGTGGTCTGTGGCTGGGTCCGTTGTTTTGGCACCTATCTCAGTCTGGCTTCTCGACACCCAGGATTACAATTCATGGTTCATTGAGGTAAGCTGCACGAGCCCGAAGTATTCAGGTTTTGCACTAAATTGATCCAATTACTTAGTTTTGCTGGGCTTTCTCCATCATTCTTGAGTCTGTGTGTGTTTTGCCGCAGCTTCTTCTCCTTCGCCAGACCACTGTCCCGACGGTGATCGACTCATATTATCTACTTGCCCTGGGCTCCTACAGAGCATTCTACATCCTCAATTGGATTGTCCGCCTCTTCAACAAGGAGCCCTTCCATGATTGGATCGCTGTCGTGTTTGGCATTGTACAGACTGCCTTTTATGTCGACTTTGCATGGGTATACTATTCGCGTCAGCGAGTCAAGCTTCGCAATGGTGGTGTCGTCGACTCCGAGGACTACGGCAACAGCTGGCTAGTGAATCGTGTCGTGAATTTCCGGGCATCGCGAGGCTCGGTAGACGAAGAACAGCGCCTTCGAGACGAGGAGGAAGGGGTGGATAGTCAATCAAACCACAACCGGTGGGGCGCTCGTGGCATTTCCATCGCAGCTGATGATACCTTGGAAAGCAACGTTCATAACAAGGGACATCATCACGATGACAGTTTAGATGGGTTTTCGGGGGACGAGGACGAAACGGATGATCACCGGATGCGCAATTCTCGTTAAGTGTTGAATTGCCATGGGCAAATTCTGTCACATCATGGATACCTATACGTCAGTCAGGTTGTTAAATGTTGCGCAGAGTCTTCATGGCTCTAAATGGGTTGCACGGGAAGACCCGCCACTGCCGTTCTAGTCTGGTTATCTCCCGGGATTTGATACCCACCTTTTGATTTTCGGGGTTTTTTTTATTATAGAGTTAGAAAATGAGAACATGTACGGAGTATTCCGTAGTCTGGCCCCAAGTCTATGGGGGCCATTTTTGCTCAGCATTCGGCCCCCACAATACACCCGCCGAGGATCTATGTACGTATGTACATATGTAGCTATCACATAAGATAATATTGTCAGAAACAACCGTTTCCATACAGTCGTGAAAGTAAGAAATAAAGAGTCAATAGTTAATATGGGTAGTCTATGAATCTAAATGGTCTGGCAACGCTGATATTCATAGCCTCCATCTACTCCGCAGGATTGCTCGGATAAGGGATTTGACTACACAGTGTGGAGGACATGTTGAAGTCGAATGTTTTAACGAATTCTTAATGTAAACCTAATAATCGACGGTATCTAACCCAGAGCTGAATTTGGGGGCCAAACACACTACAAAGTACTCCCCTTGCAAACGATCCCGAAGAGATATCCATGTTCTCAAGGTTGGTTTAGCACTATCCAAGATTGGTGGGAGCTATCAACTCCCAACATGCAGTGTTCATTCCAAATTGTGCTGTGCAGATAGATCAAAGAGAAGTGAGCGTATTATTCCAGTCCCGACACGCCTGGCTTTTTCGCGGGCGCTTAGAAGCACGACGTGGCTCCGAGGGCTGACTCCGGAAGCAAACAATCACCAGAGGGGTGGAGATTTGAGATCGAAGAGAGAATAAAAGGAAAATGAATAAATAAATAATTATATGACCCTTACTCGAGGGGTGTAGAAGCAAGAAGATAAAAAATAATACAAAGAAAGTTCTAAGGTTGTTCTGCACCTTCGAGATGACCGGGGTTTACCGGGTCTCTCTGCATCAGCGCTTAACCAGCGGTCATGGATTCTCCGTGGACAAAAGCCAAGCGGCTCCGTGGAGTCTTCTCAGCCTCAAAATAATTTTGGTTCATCTATGGCCAGTCAAGAGCCGCCCGTCTTGAACTACGCCTCTGGGGAATGCAGAAGGATCGTGATCCCTTCCATCCCACACGTGTGTTGGAATTAAGTAGCGTCAAGTGGAGGGGTTTTCTTTTCCTCCTTTCTCGTGGGGGCTGCCAAAATAAAATACACAATTAGAGTAGGCTGTCAACAAGGCTGATTTAAATCAGTGCAGAAAATCTTTCTGAAGAAGGGGCCATATCGGCGTTGGGGGCAGATGCCGAATGTTATGTCTAAGACAAAGTCGAATTGGAAAATCTAGTTAGCCCCGGAGTTATTGGCAGGCTTAGTACGAGTATGGATATTATGGCTTTTTTTTTAATGTGGTCCTCCACAATCCACTGGACCTCTCCAATGCTCTAAGCGCTACGCTTTGTCTTTTTGGAGGATCATCCACAACCCTAAGCACCACACGTTTTTTCTGTGTTGCTTTTTTTGCTTTTTTACCTCTTTTATTTTATTTTTTTGGCCCGTTACAGTGGGTCTAAAGTCATAGAATCACTTTAATTCCTATTCACAATGCAGCGTCTGAGCCCCCCCGTCAAGGATGGGGGCGGAATATGGATATCAACATTGGACTATTGAGCCCGCAGCGCTTAAATACAGGCTCTCATGAAGTCTTCATGAGTTTCCCACGTCCTAATGCGGAACAGCGCTCGTCGGCGGTACTGGTCTCTGTTTTCGTGCCCTCTGAGCCTATGGTTTAATCCCTCGACTGATTGTTCACCTCTTATCCCACGAGGCATCCCGGTGATAGCTGTGATATCCCTCAAGGTGGAGGACAGGCGGACTTGTGCATCCTTCTTGCTTTTAAATCTTCCCCTCTTTTCTGGCTCGCATGAATCTTATAAGATCGACTACCGTCGATGGTTGGAAAAGTGAATTCTCTTTTCAACATTCGGAGCGAAAGGCCTTGTTGATATACACAACCCTAACGCTTCAGCTACCAGCCGCCTGCAGTCCCACATCTTCCTTTGCCTCGAGTTTCATATCTCGTTTCACATTCTGCTCCTTCGGCGTTTATTCTCCCCACTCAGACAACGCAGTGGACTGTGAAGCACCCCGTGTTTTATGTTCTGCTTGAGTACAACCAGTCAACATCATGTCTAATCGCTCGGATACCCCCTGCTCTGAGGAACTGAGAGAGTACTATGAAGGCATCCCAGCTCATTGGCCCGAAATACCAGCGGTATGTCTCTATACAGCTCTAATACAGAACATTCATTGTATGCTTCTGCAACATGAGCTGACCCCGTACGATCTAGACCCCGTTCGTAGGATCCTACAGCCCTTACTGCACGGAGTCCCTAGCTCCAAATGGCATCCTGACACCGATCAGTCTTCCGGACAGCTCGTTTCATGCCAGCCCAGCAATCAGTTACCACGGACACGGCTACCACGTGCATGAATACCACCAATATACCATCAATGACCCCCTCTCAGCGCCAGTGGGTCTCGGTATCTCTGCACCCTTCCCGAGTGATTACCCCCGGTCTTCAGCCCCGGATCCCGCTTACCTGTATGCTCCCAACCCAAGTGGCATCCAGCATGGTGTGGGACGAACCCCTAGCCAGTCGCCACAGGGCCCACCCCCAGCCAAGCGTGCCAGACATCCATCGTCGGATGCGTCCTCGCGCGAGCAGCCAAGCAACTCGCCAAGCAACACGCCAATCAGCATCGCTCCCAATCCAGAAGGTGTTCTCCGAATGGAGCAAGATCGCCAGCACGTCCAGCCAACTCCACACATACTCCCCAAGATCCGGGCCCCAGGCCGCGGCCGACGTGACCCCCAAGCAGAAGAGGAAGACGCATTTGTAGAAGAGCTGCGAGACCGACAAACGGCCTGGAAGGTCGTGCGTGAGGAATTCCGCGAGAGATTTGATAAAGATGCCTCCGAGGCACGTCTGCAGATGCGTCTTCATCGCCGGCTGCGAGAACGAATGGTTCGCTGGGAAGAATCAGATGTGAGTATGTTAACCCCCGCGACACATGGTATGACAGCCATGCTGATACGTATGTCTGCTAGATAAAACTCCTGATCCGCGCCCATGGGATCTGGGCAAAAGATAAATTCCATTACCTTTCGGACAAGGTGAGATTCCTCATGCTTATATGATGTAGGAAAGGTTCTAACGTGTCTTTTGATCTTCTTTTTCAGGTGAAAGAACTTGGTGGTACTAGATGGTACTCGCCTGATCAATGCAGAACTCAACTTCTACTACTCGACGCGAAAGAACAGCATCGTGACCGCACGAGTGAATCGCCATCTGCTATGTCTGACCCTGCTCCTATGACACCTACTGTGTCTCGTAAACGACGTCGAGCTCAGTCCCTAGAATTGGAGACTGACGACGAGGAAGCAGCCGCTTAGTTCAAAAGCCATTCTTTTTTTCGCCTTCCTTCTTCTTCTTCTCATTTCCCATTTCTTATTACTCATTACTCCGTTCATTTTCAGCTTGACTTGTTCGTTTCTCTTTCAATGGTTTCTTTATTTCTTTTTTCCCATTCTAAGATCATCACCATTCTCTAAATATTTCTTTCTTATTTTTTATCTCAAATTTCATTTCGTTATCATATTCTTCATATATTTGTAGTCATGCCCTGCTGAAATCTTTTCTTTCAAGTCTAATGTAGCTAGGACAACGTAGTAGTGGCTCCGGTCTGCGGCAGTGAAGAGCTAAACATTTAGATTATCTACGAGCAGTTAGTTTTGGATACCAAGTTGACCTATTGGCCATTTCTAAAAAGGTAATACTGGTTGGCATACAACATAGGGCCAATTTTCCACCCCGCTAGGGTTTATTATGCCCTGAATACTCGCAGTCATGCAATTGGCAATCGATTGCTAAAGCTCTTATTCCCGGTGCGCGGAGGCACAGCCACATATAAAGTTCATATTGCACTGACAAGTACTAGGCCATACATTGGGCGATCTAAGGAAACATGTAAGAATGGAATATACATAGTCTCAATTCTACACAACGCGAAGATCAAATCTCTGGTTCACGTAGGTTCTAACAGAGAGATAGGTTCCACTTCCTCTCAGACAATGTATATAACCAATGAAGATAATAACAAAACCAACGACCCCCATTGGAAGAAGGCAAAGAAAAGAAATTCGGAAGTCTAAGACAATTTCCAGGACAATGAGGAGGTATGCCACCTGCAAAATAGCCAAGAGTATACAACAGTGCCTCTGTCCTTGGTCCAGAGACTCTAAGTGAGAATCTCATAGCTCTAACAAAGCAACCAGGGCGAAACAGTATCGTGTGTTATGCATTCCGTTGAGACAGCGAAGCCATCCAAACAAAGAGATTCTACACAAGACAAAGGCTTTATGTTCAGAATGTGATCTGAATCGGACTGTTTCTCTGGATAGATAAAAAGAAAAAGAAAAAGAAAAAGACAAGGACAGTGATTCAACCTGGAACTAGCCTAGAAAGATGAAAGGCAAGTACTCCAAGATCCCAAACACATACTCAATCTTCTGTTTCTTCGGTGCTTTGCATAAGAAGACGAGATGAGAACCCATTTAACCCATCATTTCCAGGAACAAGACCATCCAATCTCGTCATGGATACCCCAGACTTTACAATCCCCGACGACGAGTGCGTCAACGACGCTCCTAGTGAGAATGCCCCGAAGGCGAAAAAGACTCGCCGCAGCCGCTACGACCCAGAGCCCGACTGGTCGGCCATGGTGCGTGCCAAGGTCATGAAGTCCCAAGTTCGTGTCGGCCAGGCCTGTGATCGTTGCAAGGTATGTCTACCATACACAGATATCGTGTTGGATTGACTCAGAACACCACAATGACGGTTTTAAATTGATATATAGCTCAAGAAGATGAAGTGCACACCCGATCCTGGAGGCTGTGCTTGTTGCATTATCCTCAACATCCCATGCAAAGTTACTGACCGTGTCACCGGTGAGACCTGGGTGCGTGGTGAGGCTGGGCGGATGCGGGCTCTCATCGAGAATCTCAAGAAGCAGACCGAGGACCTGAAGGAGCAGGTCACACAGCTTCAGCAGAAGAACGCACAGCTCCAGGACTGTCTGGACGGTTCCTACAGAGCCAATCTCATGGATCACTACGAGGTATGTTTTTATTCTCGTCTTCTCTATGATCCACATCTTGCATTGAAATATCGTTCTAATTCTTTATCTTTGAGGTTTAGGGCTAACTCAAATACCAGCCGGACCTTGCCCACACTAGTTTACTGTGATTGTGATGCCTTGTTGTCCGTGCTATTTCTAGACAATTTATCATGCCTCGTGGCTTTCTTACTTGCATGTGCCCTGTTCTTTCCGAGATGAAGTGTATGATCGAGAAAATGCAATAGAAAATGATGACAAGATTTGTTGTATGAATACGTGGATGCTTGTATACTTATCGTCTTTTACTCAAGTAAAGGTTGGCAGATTTCCTACAGTTGATAGAAAAAAGCAAATCTGTTTGTCTTGCGTAGCGTGACCATGTAATCCCAATTCGTGCACCGGGTATCCAAATAGAAACGCAATGCAAATAACCATCGCCCTTTTACCAAGTAGCTTTCTTTTTCCAGCAACAACAGATTCCCTTGCTTTCACACCATTCCCTGACAGACGCAATACCAACCTCGCGATCCTCGCCCACAAGTCCAAGCCCCTCAATATTGAGCCATGCTGCGAAATCTTCCAGAACGATAGGGTCGTACATGAGGATCTTTTCATGCCATGTAGGTCGACTACGGCTACCGCGAGATGATGACAGCGGCGAGACCCGAGGCTGGACGCGAACAGCTTGGGTGATCTTTACAGATATTTCTGCCAGACTGATCTCTTCAGAGGATTCTGCTGTGTGGGCGGTCGCGATGGATGCAGAGGATGGCATTCTTTTCGCTGAGGTATTAGAGGAAACAGCCTTGCGCTTGGTCGGGCTCGGTGATGGTGATTTTGTGAGGATATCCAAGGAGCGGTGTGGCAGCTGACTGCCAGTCTTGGACTTTGAATAGATGTCGGTATAGTGCTTTTGTACTTGGCTCGGAGAAGGGATGATTTCTTCTTCTGAGTCTTGGATCTCTTCTACATCAATGAATGACGTAGAACTCGCAGTGATAGGCTTCCCTCTTGAGTTTTTATTTGGGCTTGTTCGGAGATTGGTTCGCGAGGCGGAAGTAGCGGAAGTTGGTTTTGTCGCATCAAGTGGTTTTCGGTTCTTTTTAAATGTTCCAGATTTAGGCTTCACCGTCGCCTTCGTCTTCGCGGAGGAGGTAGGTTTTGGAACATTGTCCTTTTTAGAGACAGGTTCCTTCTGTTGCTCGGGTTGGCCTATAGGCTGGGTGTCAGAGGTAGCATTGCTACCGTGCTTCGATTCCCAACATTGTTGAAGAAGTTCGATCATCTTCTTGCGGCCCCTGACTGCCTTGAAGCCATAAGAGAAGACCTGTTTAGACAGCTCCGCATCTGTAAATCCGGTGTATTGTGGCATTGAGGGTGCCTGCGAGGTAGCTGGCTGGGAACCAACCGCTTCAGTCGGGGTATTATTGGCTCTCTGTGCAGACTTGGTAGTCTTTGCAGCTTTGACCTTGGCCGTAGCTGTAGTAGCTATAGCTGTATCTGAGGCTGCCGGGATCGGAGCTGGAGCTTGAACCTGCGTGTCTAAATCCAAGCTCCTTTCGGTTAACGGTAGTGATGATGGTCTCTTTTGTGGAGGCAAATCTATGTCTGCAAATTCTAGCTCATACCAGTCCCCCTGAAGAGGTTTGTGGCTGGCTTGTTCCATGTTGTCATGACTATTCTTTGCGGGAGATTCTCCCCCATCCGTCAAGTCAATCACGTTTATTGTTTCTGGTTGAATCAAAGACCCTTCGGTGTCTCTGGCGCCAACGCACCACAGATTCCTGGTGCCTGCCAATCTTGATGCAAAACGAGTAGATGATTCATGGACCGCGCTTGGGCCCTTATTGGGCGGCCCCTCTAGATGAGGAAGACTTTCAGAAGCACGGATGGCTTGTTGAGTCTCTCGCAGAGTCTGCGGTGAATCATCTCTTTCCAATTGACTGCAGGTGCCGAATACAAGGTCTTGATCATTCAGAAACTCGACGGCTGCTTCCGGGGAAAGTACAGTGAACGAAGACTGTTTCTCCGTCTCTTTGGCCTTTCTTCGTCTTTCTTTTGTCGTCCTGATGTCCGGAAGGCAATCAATCACCGGTTCATCCTCTTCTGCATAATTTGTTGAATATTGCGCAGTCATACGCGCCGTCAACGTGGTAAACTTCTTAGGTTTGCCCTTGGTTGTCTTTTTGGGCTTCCCCAAGTTCTCTCCTTGGGCAGATGACTGATCACTTGAATCAGAGTACCTTCCATTGAGCAATGCTTGGATTTCAGGATTGGCCAGCTCTATCCGCCGACGCTTTGTTGGTCCTTCGCCATTTGCATTCTGCACAAGGTCGCGGGGATTCAAAGCTGAACCAGAGTAACTATAATCGGATACCAGCTTGCCAAAGCCCCTCATAAGGCTCGGATCACGGTCCTTATCCGGGCTGCCACCATCGTCCACAGTAGCAATTTCCTCGTAAGCGGTCTCCCTTGGTGGTGTCCAATCCATCCTTCTTCTCGTTGCCTCGTCCAGATGCAGCGCCTCATCCTTTCCCAAAACATTTGATTCCTTTGGAGTAGGTTTCTCGGATGCATCCTCCGAAGGAGATAATTTTGTGGCAACCGTCTTCTTCCCACCTTTGCTGGATTTCTTTGTTGGTGGATCGCCGCTTGTCTTCGTAACTTTCCCAGCCAGTGTCATATTTCCTGAATCCTTATTCTTGGCATTCTTTCGAGGACGACCTGTGGTCGGTTTCACTGCGTCATCTTTTGTGCCAACAGTCTCTGACTGGGGTTCCCCAAGCGCAATTGTTCCTGGCGCATCCGCAGCTCTCTTCGCCTTCCGCCGCGGTTTGCTCGGTGCTGTCTGCTTGCTGGTGTCTGAAGTAGGATCCTTCTTTGTCAATCGCCTTTTCGGCTTCGTCACGTCCTCGGGACACGTGGTGCTCGCGACTGGAGTGGGAAAAAACCGGGAACGCGTATGAGGTTGGGACAAATCGGATGTCAAGCGTATTGGCGGTGGCGTTGCACCTTGTGGCAAGGCGCGAGAGATCGGCTTTGTATCATACCTACCTGGCCCTGGCGACCGCGGTGGATTTGGAGAGGACGAAAGAATTATCACATCTGCAATGCTGGCCATCGTGGCGAGTCGCGTCTCTGGGTGTTTGTTTGGTTGATCAGGGCGAGTCAAGTGTACTGCTTGAGCTTGTTGTATCAGACATCTCCTGGGCAACGTTTAGTCCGAAGAGAAAACAGTATAAAGTGGATGCAAGTTGGATATGCTGGAGAAGTAGCGTTTTGAGATCCAAGTTCAATGTTTCGGGTCGATCGACCGCGGTCTTGGCAAAGTTGCATTGCTTTCCCTTTCCGTTTTAGTGCTCCCTGAGCACCGCTTTTTGCACGTCTCTGAGCGCTCGGAGCAGCCTTGCCCAGGTGGACCCCCCTAGGAAGTCACGTCTGTCTGCCTCTTGCTCGAGGGCGCAGGACCTCTGGCTTATACTGGGTGGGCCCGGGCAAGTGGCGGGGTACCTAGGTAACTCGTTAGCTTACCCGGGTTGACTAACTGGAGCTAGCAAAACTAACGTAATGATCCTGGTAAGAGCATCGATAGACAACATTGTATTTTTCAAGGTAAAAGCTCCTGCTATATTACTGGCATTTGCTTAACTCGGGCGTACAAAATCGCGATCTTCGTCGATGCAAACAATAAGGGGTAAGCGACCTTGCTCTTCTGTCACGCAACTCGCTTGCCTACAACATAGGTAGCCTCTTCAGAAGAAGAAGGCCCCATTGGAGCCTGTAATTCGGAAATCCGCGATCTCAACATGGACTCATATGTCGAATCGGTTTTTGAAGGGACAGCTCATGTCAAAGGCAAGGCTTGTGGCACACTTATTGCGAGTGGATTAGAGCTAAGCTTCTGGGGCGGAGTCAACCCTCAGACCGGAGAGGTTATTGACCGCCATCATGATTTGAGCGGTCACCATCTCCAGGATACTGTCCTTGCCATTCCGAGTGGCCGGGGTTCATGCTCTGGAAGTGGAGTTATCCTGGAACTACTCCTCAACAACAAAGGACCAAGGGCAATTTTGTTCGAAAGACAAGATGACATTCTCACTCTCGGAGTGATGGTTGCGGAGGAAATCTTCGGGAAAACCATACCAGTGGTCACAATGAAGCCGAACGATTTCCGGGCGATTTTGGGGATGAAAGGGAAGACCATCTACATTGACTCTGACCGCGTTTCTGATGAAGCCCTTCATGACACACACGGAGATCTCGCACAAGAGCCAACCAGAAACTACTTCACTGGTGGTCTGCAGCTGTCAGACTTCGATAAAGACTTGCTTCAAGGACTGCACGGGGAGGCCTCTCGTACTGCAATTCAGATCGTTTTGCGAATGGCAAGCCTATTAGGAGCCACTGAATTAATGAATGTGACCCAGGTCCATGTGGATGGCTGTCTTTATACGGGTCCTGGGTCTCTTCTGTTTGCAGAGAAGCTCCGGGACTTGGGGGGAAGGGTCCGAGTTCCAACAACGCTGAATTCCATCTCTATCGACCAGAGTCGTTGGCGCGATCAAGGCGTGGACAATTCATTCGGTGAAGCGGCCACAAAATTAGCGAAAGCCTACACTGACATGGGCTCTACGCCAACCTTTACCTGTGCGCCGTACCAGCTTAAAACAGCACCCAGACAAGGAGAGCAAGTGGCTTGGGCAGAATCAAATGCGGTTGTCTACGCTAATAGCGTACTTGGAGCTAGAACCATGAAATATCCAGATTTCCTGGATATATGCGTCGCTCTCACTGGGCGCGCTCCTAGGGGAGGACCGCATGTTGACATAAACAGACTGGCGTCACTTATTGTGAGAGTTGATGTTCAAGACGTGGATGCTATTGACGATTCCTTTTTCCCCATACTGGGCTACAAGATTGGTAGCCTTGCTGCGAATCGGATCCCCGTTATTGTTGGACTACAAGCACTGGCACCGTCGAAAGACGATTTGAAAGCCTTTGGCGCTGCGTTTGCAACAGTTTGCAGTGCGCCCATGTTCCATATTCTGGGCGTCACCCCCGAGGCAACTTCACTCAGTGCTGTCGTGGACAAAGTGCATCAGATACCATCTGTCGATATCGAAATGAGACATCTGGTTGAGCACTGGCAAAGGCTCAATAGTGCATCTGAGCAACAGGCCGTCGATCTGGTCTCCCTCGGCAACCCACACTTTTCATTCAAAGAAATGGAAAAACTGGCTCACCTCTGCCAGGGCCGAGCCAAGGCACAAGAGGTTTCAGTCATAGTGACATGTGGGCGGTCTTCTTATGGGTTAGCCTCCCAAGCAGGATTGGTAGAACTACTGGAGAATTTTGGCGTCCAATTTATTACCGATACTTGCTGGTGCATGATCACGGAGCCAACTATTCGGACAACTACGAATGCTATCATGACAAATTCTGGGAAGTATGCTCATTACGGGCCTGGTCTGACGGGACGGAAGTTCTTTTTGGGGAGCCTCATGCAATGCGTCGAGGCGGCATGTCGAGGTAGCTATATCAAGAAGATGCCTAAGTGGTTGATGATTTGAAGACCATTCACACGTATGATTGTCAATTGACAAATCGACCATTGTGTTATTTGAATATGTACAATGCGCATATTCTTGCAAATATCTTGTAAATGTTCAATTCGTGATTGTCGTGAATTTGTGCACTGTCTTGGAAGAGATACCTGGGATGTTCTCTGCTCAATCTTAGGGCCGAGGAATAGTAGACCTCGGAAAAATCATGGTGATCTGCCTGTGGTCGCTGGGCATATTCTCAAGTCGAAGCCAATTTGAAGCACAATATATCCCACACAGAACAATAGATAACTTGGAAAATGAGTGTATTTCCAACTCGTCCCATGGCAAACTTTATGAATTTCAGGCACAGTGAATTTGGTTGCGTAATATAAGCAATTGCTCATGATCCCCTCAAGGCAATTGCACTCAACAGGGAATTTTCGAGTCGTTGCTTAGCCTCATCATTCTCCTTGGCCTTTGGCAAAGGCAGAGCCCCGAGCTTGTATGCTTTCTTGATCTTGTTGATATCAGAGATTTCGGAGAGTGTCTGGTCATCGAAAAGCACAGGTGTCCCTTGAAGCGAGCTGCCCAAGTGGGCCGCAACGGATTCATGTGTTATCTCCGGAGAGACAGAGACCTTGATCACCAACAGGTCTTTGGTTGAATCAGTAATACCGAATCTACGGAATGATTCGGCGATCTAAGTCCGTGTTAGCCCCGGCTTAGTGGCAAATTTGCAGCTAGTTCCTAGAGACGGCAACCCACATTATTCGTAGGGTTCAACGAGAACACGATCTCGGAATGCACATTATGAGACTTCAGTCGATTGTGCATGTAATCATTAACTGCTCTGAATACTGCTGCAGTGGCGTGAGCCCTTGACAGAACCTGCCGCTTGGGGTTAGGCAACAAGTTCATTTTCTTAGCTCTCAAGGACATTTTAACACACCATGCTCGCATCAATGAACGCATACTCAAATTCTTTATGACCAGCGAGAAGTTCGCCTTTCAGATAGGCAGCATTTTGAACATCGCGATATAAAGCAACATGCACGGGCATCAATGGTAGGTGTGGCAAGCTGATCGTCTGTAGACTTGAGGCCATGACTGAAATCAAATCAAAAGAATATGACGTATGTGTAATCGAGCCGATCTGATAAAAAAAGAATTAAAGTGAGCGAGTCCACTGTGAGTCTACAAACCCATCCCACTTCTCGATCCACGTGACCAGTTCTGGAATTTTCCGGACTTAAGCGGTCGCCAGCGGAACATGAGTAATCGCCTCCATATCACCCGTGGGCCCGACATTTAAGCCTCTCCTCACTCTTGACTCTCGACGCTCCCCATCGCAAACATGGCTTTCTTTCTACGGCGTCCGTTCGCTGTATCCTCGGCGCTTCGCCAGGTCCCTAAGATCACGAACACCGCCCGATTCATTCACAATTCTCCCATCAAGCCCACCCAAGCAGTAAAGCCCCAGGGTGTTTCGTCCTCGATCTTCGCCAAGTCCCGACAGAACTTCCAGAATGCCTTCCGCCGTACATACATGCAGCAGAGCTTCAACCCTGCACAGGATGGTAACATGACCCAGAAACTGGTGTATGGCGCTGCCATTATTGGTGGTACGGTTCTGGCAACCAACTTCATCTTCAACCGTGAAACAAGAGAGGACGGCGGTATGCCGGCTTACGAGCGGAGCTTCTTGAACGAAACTTTTATGCACACTGGTCTTGGTATTGGTATCATTGGTGTTGCTGCTCGCGCCCTCCACATGAGCGGCTGGTCTTATCGTCTCATGGCCATGAACCCGTGGCTCGTTATGGGTGTCGGTCTCGTTGGCAGCATCGGCTCCATGTACGGCACTTTCTACACTTCCCCGGATAAGTAAGCTTTTTTCCTTCTCTTTTTGTTTCCCAGGAAAACAATGAGCTGACTTTTGAATTAGCTACGTCGTGAAGTATGGCTGCTGGACCCTCTTCAACCTTACCCAGGCTGCTCTTCTCTCACCCTTGATGTTCATGAACCCTGCCATTCTTGCTCGCGCTGGTCTTTACACTGTTGGTATGATGGGCTCGATCGCTTTCGTCGGTGCCACTGCTAAGCAAGAGAAATACCTGTACTTGGGTGGGCCCCTTCTTGCCGGTGTGACCATCGTTGCTCTCTCTGGACTCGCCCCCATGGTCCTCCCTGCTACTGCTGTTCGCACTTTGATGTGGTCTGAGCGCATGTGGCTGTACGGTGGTCTTGCTGTCTTCGGTGGTTTCACTCTCTATGACGTGCAGAAGATTCTACACCATGCTCGTCTCGCCGAGCGTGGCTTGATCAAACGCGATGTGGTCAACGAGTGTGTCAGCCTCGAGTTGGACTTCATCAACATCTTTATCCGCATGGTCCAGATCCTCGGCATGGGCAACAACCGTCGTTAAGCTACCTTATATCCACTGTATTAACTTTGCC